GACAGAAATGGGGAAAAGCGAGAGAGAGAGAGAGAAGAGAAGAGAGAGAGAGAGAAAGAAACGAGAGATAGAGAAAGTGAGAGTGAGAGTGAGAGTGACTCAATTCAACATGTAGTTCACAGCTTGGTATATCAACACTCAATACCCGCAAAAAACTAATTACGCTCCTGCGACGCCAATCGACACTCATTGGTATCGTGCGTCGGTGGCCGTCCCCGCGCCCCGCCAAGCCCTCACCCTGGATGCACTTGAGAGATCGCGCAGGTTGAAGACGTAGTGCGACTTGGCAGGGTCGTAAGCAGGTCTGTTGACAATGCGACTGTAGATGTCGCACGGCTGCAAACGATCGGCTCGGCAACATACTGCTTCCGAGTGTGGCAGAACTCAGCAAGAACCTCGGCAATTATTGGCCATGCAAGAAGAGAAGAATTCTGTCAGTAGTAGTAGCAGCAGCAGTATGTAGTAGTATTAGTAGTAGGCAGCAGGCAGCACAGGCGAGCAGGGCAGCATGCAGTAAGCAGGTAGGGCAGTAGCAGTAGGGCAGTAGGCAGTTAGGCAGTAGTAGTATAGTAGCAGTAAGCAGCAGTAGCAGCAGTAGTACGTGGCAATTCGATGATGTAGTCGATTCACACTACACCCACCATAAATTATTTAGTCTGCAGAGTTATATCTCAGTCCGGCCGACGGTAATCAGAACATGCCAGAAAACCGGACAACCGAGCGCACACTGGATTTCTCGCCACGCACCAGGTGGCGCACGAGGCAGAACAATCGTAATATCCTTATATAGGGGAGAAAGTGAACATAAAGAAAGCCCATTCAATTTACATTACTCAACCATAACTACACATTACACACACTACCGACCTCGAGATAAAAAACTGAATAATCCAATTTAGAATCGCGTTCCATTTCTCATCATGCTCCCTCAGTTTGCTGGTTCAGCATATATTTAACAGACTCGACCTCATTTTCTGGCCACGGCGCTAAATGACAAGTAAAACACACACCAGGATGTCTTCCAGAAGAGTTTGTTCCCTGTCGACCCCAGCCAACCAAAGTCTTGATACTGCCAGGCAGGCCAGCTCCATGGGAGCTGGGAGCGCTATTCTAGGCTAGGCTCATGTTGAGATCATCGACAAATTATGACCATTTTCTTTCCAATCGGCGGCCGCTGCAAACACACACGAGAAATCTTAATTTGATAGAAATCTCATCGGCAACTATGTACGCCGTGTTCACTTATATATCGCTTTATATATACATGATATGATATACTTATACTTAATGATACTTATACTTAATAACTATACTGTAGCTTTATATTGCTATTATTATTATATAATATATATATATATATTATTATTATATTATATATTATTATATACTTGTACTTATATATATATACTTATTTACGCAATTGTATAATCACTTAATTATGCTAATTATGTTATGGTTAATTTATTTGGCCTGTACCGAGAGCGTCTTCCTGCGTTCTGCGCAGCTTCGACTCATCATCTCTGCGTCTGATGGAGTTGTTTGTTGCCATGAGAAATTGATTGTAGAGAAGGGATGTACCGCGACCGCTCAGCTAAATCTGTCCAGCATTTCTCTGCTATCACTGACTACAATGGACACACATACACATATTAAATAATTAGTATTACTCACAATGTCAATCGAAACCACACAGTCTCTTAAAATAATCTCACTTCTCTTGTCGATAATGAAAAAACCTCCCGGGAACAACATTAATTCATGGACATGAGATAGGTGGATAAACTTTGCACCATTTTATATTCATCTTACACGATGAATTAGGATTTTTCTGGGAACTGTGTCGCTCAGTACAAATCTCTAATCATCTCAATCTCTCATCGAAAATTACTCTAGGAACAACATTAATCATGATATAGGAAGAGGAAACTGAAATTTCCATATTAATTATGTGTCTCAGGAAGTTTTTACTAGGAGCTGTTTTGGGCTTCCAGACATCAATCATGCAATAAGAATCGCAGACACCTGCAGGGTTACGCTAGGCCTTCTGTCACCCTGTGGCGATCGGTGCAACATCAATCAAGGCTTCGCACAAAAGTTGAAGGCCTTGTGCGCAGTCCCAAGTTCGAGAATAACCGCCGACGCTAAGATGACACAGAAGCGTAATAATTGACAAAATGTCATTCGTCATTTGTCAAATGACATTTGGTCATTATAGATTATACGGCGTTTTAGATGTTCTATCGTAAAATCTGCGACGTTTGATCGTCCTTGATTGACGCGGCGTTAGAAAGCTAACTGACCTATGCCGACGCCGGGGTGGTGCCGGTGAACAGCACGGAATCTGTTGACGGGCAGAGCAGGCTTCTCCATGAGGAACCGTAGCGCCACGTGTCCATCGTCGCAACCAGCGATGTTGAAAAGAACGGAACGTCGCAGGGTCGTAGCGGAAGTGGTGGGCTAGCGATGGCTCCACAAGCTCACATGCGCCTGGCGTCTCGAGAGTCGACGTAGTAGCTCCAAAGTCGCAGGCCCGAGGCATCTTCATGGCAGCGTTAAAACGTTGTTAGGTTGTGGCGAGATACTATAGGCGTTAACGTTTATAGCGGAGATATTCTAAACATGCGTTTGTTAAAATAAAAGTATCAATGTCATTGTTGTGCGAGCATAACTAGCCTTAACCTTTATATCAGAGATATTCTAGCAAATCGTGTTTTAAAATAAATTACAATGTCAATTTGGTTGTTGTGAGCTATGGACCTTGATACTTATATATGAGAATAATCTCGCGCTCTGGTGTTTTGAAATTTTCAGTGTCGATCTGCTCAAACCCAAGTACAATTTTTGAACAGCATAATACTACAAGCCATTTTAACCTAAATCAGGCATTATAATAAGCATACCAATAGAAATATGGTCTAACTTTATGTGAAACCTGATCAGCTTCAGATATTATGCAATGAACGTAAATGTCTATATGATAACTGTTTTTCGTTGGCACACTGGCACACGTGGGTACATGTAAACTTTCAGTGACTATTATCTGGCACACTGGTACACGTGAACTCGGGTCAAGTGCACAATAGCATACATACAGGGACAAATACATTAGTATATTATCTATAGCATAAATAACCCGATATACGGTTCGACAGACCATCATCTTGACATCCATCTATCTGTGACATACTTTCAATACCATTCAATATATGCTTTATATTACAAATGAATGATTTGAGTAGAATGTCTCTAAACAAAGATATCAGCAATCTAATATCAACATGTAAGCCATGGAGTGGTGTGTCTTCTCCCAATACCTGTGTATCAGTGAAAAGGAACACTGTGTTCTCATTCTTAACACCCGTGGCAAAGTAAAGTTTCTTCAGATCCTCGTGGAACGCTGAGTAGTCGTAGCCTCTGCAGAGCTCGATCTGGAAGCAATTGTAGCCACATATGTGACTGGCCAGTCTGCAAAATAGATCCATGCATGTGCACATTATTATTAATATTATTATTATTATTATTAAATCTTTATTGCATGTAATTCAAACACAAATATATGTAGTGAAGTCGGTCTTTTTCACGGAGAAAAAATCTCATAGATGCAATAGTGTTGAGCAGTTAAAATAATAACATTTCTGAGTAATACGTACGGTACAAAACAACGCTATACAATATGAGACATAACTACTATTACAGTGTATTAGTGCATATACACATGATTACAGCTACAGCTTTTACAGCTATTACTATAATAATACAGCTATACATACACACACCAACAATTATACAGCAGCTCTAATCACCAGACGAACAAAGAATAAATATTTTAATGATATCGTCTTCCTGACAGGTATACACAATTTTTAGATGTACACCTGTGTTGAGCACTATACCTGGTAAGTGATTGTTTTCCTGTGCCGCCGACTCCCACCAGCAGAGCATTGCCTCTCTCCTGTCGTATCATGCGAGCAATTCGAGACACGTGTTCTATTGCATCGAGGAAGAACACCAACTTCATCTCCTTGGACGATTGCATGTTGAAGTCATCCAGATTCTAAGTAAAAATATATTCATATTATAGAAATGCCGACAGTTGAATACTTACTACCCAAGTACACTGAGTTTTTTTTTCATTTCAAATAAATTCTTCAAAACTCATTAATCAAATTTCAATACCTAATCCCATCCACAAAACTCGTTCATTTCTTTACCTGAAACGTATGAATATATTCCAAATATAGAAGCTTAGTAACTCATACTAGTTTGCTATTCGATCGATATATCACCGAAGAAACGCTCTCTGAAGTGTCTGACTATCAAAAGCTGTCAAGCCCGTTTATCACCGATTTATTAACATAATTAGCCATAATTTAAGTGATTATACAATTGCGTAAATAAGTATATATATAAAGTACAAGATATTAATAATATATAATATAATAAATATAATATATATAATATATAATAATAATAGCGTATAAGTACAAGTATAAGTATATTAAGTATATTAAGTATAAGTATATATATCATTTATATAAGCGATTATAAGTGAGGCACGGGTACATATTGCGATGAAATTTCTATTCAAATTAAGATTGCTGTGTGTGTTTTGCAGGGCCGCCGATTGGAAAGAAAATGGTCATATTTGTTGATGATCTCAACATGCCTAAGCTAGATACGTACGGCTCCCAGCCTCCCATTGAGCTGCTGCGGCAGTATCAGACTTTGGTGGCTGTACGACAGGGACAAACTCTTCTGGAAAGACATCCTGGTGTGTGTTTTACTTGTGCATTAGCGCCGTTGGCAGAAATGAGTCGAGTCTGTTAAATATAGCGAACCAGAAGTGAGAGCATGATGAGAAATGAACGCGATTCTAAATTGGATATAATCAGTATTTTATTCGAGTCGTGTATAGTGTGTGTAATGTGTAGTTATGAGTTGATAATGTATTAATGATGTGGCTTCTTATGTTCACTTTCTTATGTAGGATATTACGATCTGTTCTGCCTGTGCGCCACCTGGTGGTGGGAGAAATCCAGTGTCGCCTCGGTTCGTCCGGTTTTTCGGCATGTTCTGCATACCGTCGCCGACTGAGAATAACCTGAGACAAATATTTATGGTGGGTGTGTGTGAATCTCTACATCAATCGAATGCCACTACTACTGCTGCTGCTACTGCTGCTGCTGCTACTGCTGCTGCTGCTACTGCTACTGCCTACTGCTACTGCTACTGCTACTACTACTGCTGCTGCTGCTGCTGCTGCTGCTACTACTATACTACTACTACTGCTGCTGCTACTACTACTGCAGAATCGTCATCTTCTTGCAGGCAATAATGGGAGGATTCTTGGCTGAGTTCTGCCACTCGGTGAAGCAGTGTGCCGAGCCGATCGTGTCTGCAGCCGTGGACATCTACAGTCGCATGTCGACAGACCTGCTACCGACGCCCGCCAAGTCTCACTACGTCTTCAACCTGCGCGATCTCTCCAAGTGCATCCAGGGTGAGTGCTGGGGGGGGGGATGGCCAACTACCCGCGTAGCCAATGAGCGTGATGGCCTCATAGAGCATCAGTTCTGCAGTACTTGCAGTGGTGATATACCAAGCTGTGAACTACATGTTGAATGAGTCACTCTCACTCTCACTCTCACTTTCTCTATCTCTCTTTCTTTCTCTCTCTCTCTCTCTCTCTCTTTCTCTCTCTCTCTCTCGCTTTCCCCATTTCTGTCTCTCTCTCCTATCTCTCTCTTTCTCTCTCTCCTCTCTCCTCTCTTTTCTTTCTTTCTCTTTTCTCTCTCTCCTCTCTCTTCTCTCTCTCTTTCTCTCTGCATGTGAATATAATTGATTTGATTTGCTGTGTGTCTGATCTTCCTCAGGAATCCTACAGGTGGTGCCAGCAGTCATTAAGACCCAGCCAGCAGGTATTTCGACTGTTCTGTCATGAGGCGCAGCGAGTGTTCCACGATCGACTCATCGAACACAACGACAAATCCTACTTCACTCCCTGCTCACCGAGATGGCCTCCCGTCACTTCAACCAGTATCGAGGCAAGCGCGTCAAAAGTCGTTACAGTTTACTAATCAGAGAAGTAAGATAGTATCGATAGATAAGAAAGTATAGATATATGAATGGTTCATGTCAATGATGCAGTAGTTGAAACTGGATTTGTGATTGCATTGTGCTTTGTTATATAGCAATTTTGAATATATTAAATGATTGAGTGTACATGTGTTAAAGGTTAATGGTACTAATGAAAAAGAGGGGTTCAGCAGGCCTTTCTTAGCAGATCTGTAAAAAGGAATTGTAACTGCACTAATATATTCCATTTTATATAGTAACATATTACCTCTCTGCGCTTCTTGGGGACGCTATGTGCGTGCGTGCGTGCGTGTTTGATATCGATGTTTTTGGTTCTCGCCGTACATGGAAGACCGTAGAAGCTGAGAGCTTTGCTAAGACTCCGATCATCTTCGGGCGACTTTATCAAGATAGGCGCGGCCAAGGCAGACCGCGCTGTA